AGTTAACAGATGGAAAATTTGTTGGGATTTTAATTACTGTACAAAATTTCAGACAATTTGGTTTAGTTTAAGCCCTTAACTATTCACGCAAATTTACAATTTTCCCGAAAAATCAGCTATTTGCATGCTTAATTAATTCATTTGCCTAATTTGCATATGTCAGCAAGGCTGACTTCTTAGAACAAAATGAATAGTTAAAGGGCTTAAATTAAACCAAATTGTCTGAAATTTTGTACAGTCATTAAAAACCCGACAAATTTTCAATCTATCAACTCAAAATATTATTACAGCTTTTACATTTTGTGCGCGAGCCATTTTAGTTTGTTGGAAAAGACACACCCCGCTGGTTCACAAAATTTGAGTTCGAGAAATTTTTTTCATTATTTTACATTATAAGTACCCAAAGAAGCTATATATATAAAAAACAGATACAAATAGGTGTTTTGCGAAATTGAGAGCAATTTCAAATTTTTTCCGGTTTTTTTTATACACCCTGTATAGGTATGTTTTTTAATTATGTTTTACAAAAGGTGTATGAGAAAATAGGCAATTTTGGGAAAACATTCGACGGATATTAATGGTATCTGTAGGGGTCTTAACGTTTGATAATTTAAATTTTCGAGAGCAAAATGGTTGTCTCTTTCTGCTCATTACATCAACAATGGAAGATACCATTGAACCAGAAGTAAACTAAAACGCTAATTCCTATGATAAGGCCTATACGATTCGTCGAAGCCGACGGGCGGGACAATCGACTTTCAAAAAGATGGAGGCGAATTTTGATAAGAAAAATTTTATCAAAAATTCGTTTTTGAGCAAAAATTAGTAAGAAAAACACTTCTTCCTGGGAAGACTTCAAAGTTTGAAATTCAAACCTGGTTCTCCAATTAGTTTTGATTTTTTGACATTTATATAGGCTGGGCGTGCCAAAACCAAATTACTCTTTAGAAATAATTATACTATAAAACGTTTTGACAGTCATTAAACTGATTTTCTGCTAAACTCTACCTTTGTTATTTATCATGAGCTTTCAATCCTTGCTATTCCCACTGACGTTTCTCAAGTGGTGTTATTTTCTGTGTCGTATACCTTTTGTGCCACATTGTGAGCACTTTGAATAAAGAGCCAAGCTTTAATAATCATTATTTTAACTATTATGTACCAGTGGCGGCGCCAGGGGGAGGGCAAGGGGGGCAAATGCCTTCAAAATTATTTTTTGCCCCCCCCTGAAAAACAATATCAGTCACTGAGAGCGACTAAAGGCGTTTTGTCGTTATCGGACAATGTATGGCTTATAAGTTGTCATTACTCATTAGTGAATGCGCGTATACATGAAACTGTCTTTTACAGTTTCAATATTAGTTTGTAAATCTCTGAATGGTAAAACTTGCCAATACTCCAATAATACGTTTCAAAAACGACAAAAAAACTTTAGTTTTGCAAAGTTAAATTCTCAAACATGTAAAGGCCCACACAGACCGGACGTGATTCGGCAACGTGACGCGAATTTTCAGTTTTTAAAAACAAATAAAACCGTCAATGGATAAAAATTTTACAAGGTATGCAGACCAAATAGCTAAAATTGCTAAGTGGCCCGACTATTTGAAAAACAATGAAAAATAGTAAAGTTAAATGTCATTGAAAACTGAAAATTTGCGTCGCGTTGCCAAATAGCGTCCGGGCTGTATGGGCTTTAATTAAGCACTAATAAGATGAAAGTATCACGAAATTATTTGAATAAACCACATCGCATATATGGGGGGCGAATATCCTAAAGCGGGGGCGATATTCCTGGGGCATTCTCCCCTCTGGGGGGGGGGGGCGGTATTCCTAGGATATTCGTCCTCCGGGGCGGTATTCCTAGGAGTATCGCCCCCTTTTGAGAGGGGGCGAATCTCCAGGGGGAGGGACAAAAGTCCGGTGACAACAGCTTGGGCAAATAGCAGTACCTTTTTAAAAATTCTATCTTGCTCCCCAAAATATGAGTTTGCCCCTCAAATGCCCCCCAAATTCTGAGGCGTGGCGCCGCCACTGGTCAGTACATGGTTAAAAATATTTTTTTGAATACATCTAATATTTTTCTACATAAACTTTTGGCTATTGAGCACTTTGAATATGCAGAGGATATGTTAGAACATCAATGATTAAAAAACATTTGAATACATAATATAGTTTGTACTTTTCTATACAAGATTGTATTATAATATCTCCAAACTGTCTGGAAAGCCCAATAACTCGGGCAGAAAAAACAAACATTTTGGCGCGGTTTCGTAAAATTTCGATTTTGTATGTTGTATACTCTAAAACGAAAGATTAAAAGGAAAAGTGTATCAAATATGAATGCGTCTTTTACAACTGCTTACAAAACACTGCTTCAATCCTCCCTGACTTATTATTCCAGTTTACTTATAGTTCAATGTTTAAAGCTTGAAACGTGGTTTGAACTCTTGAGAAAATGATGCATATTTCAAGCCTGGTCCATGCAATGACCTCAAATTGCTTTTTAAACCAAATTCTGTATAAAAGTGCAGCCGTTTGCACTCGCAAGCTTAGTAATAAGAGTAAAATTTTGTGTCAAAGTAAAGAAGATCCTTGACTTCCCGTAGTAAGATGAAGACGAACTGACGAATAAAAGGAATAGGAATGTTCACACAATTAATAATACTCACGACGGTACCATCGTTTACCTTGTCAACCAAATTTAAATAAATCGTAAACGTTTTATAAAAAATCTAGCTCTTGGTTTTAAGAGCGCTAAATGATATCCAGACGCCTAACACACTTTGTCATACTTCAGCTTATTATGTATTATTTCAAACAAGGCAACTACCAACTAGTAAAGTGAATTAGCTGGCCCGGCCAGCCCGGTTTCTATATAAACACCGTTGGATAGTGTCCGATTGAACGGCTTTTTGGATGTACATGTAGTCGATAGAACGAATTGCCTTGTTCATTTGCCTTTTTTGTCTATTTTATATAGGAAGCACAAAGTTGTGGAAATGGAAAAAGAATTCGAGAGTTCATCGAGAAAAGTTCGTTATGCTGCGCGAATATGGAAAAACCCACCCAATAGAGATCAAGGAGGTTAACGGAGTACGCTTTTACTGCTTGGAAGAGTTTCTCATTGGTAAAGGAAATGATGGTACTCGAGTTTATGTAGGATTAGGGAAAAATGGATACGAGAGGGAAATGTTTGCGCAGAGACGCTTGCGCTGGCTTAGCTGAACATGAAAAGGAGATTTTGAACGAACTCAAAGCAAAGAAGTCAAATCATGTGGCAAATTATTATTCTTTTGACGACGAAACTGACAAAGAGTACTTCTTTTTAATAATGGAGTTATGTGAAGAAACATTGGAAACTTTTTTTGTTGATCAGACTAAGAGTTTGGAGGATCTGGTAACAAATGCGCCAGTTATCATTCAGCACGTTTGAAAGGATTAGCTGATCTCCATCGCGATCCAAATTCCATCTTGCATCGAGATGTAAAGCCGCCCGGCCAACGTCTTACGAGACGTGCACGGTGATTGGTTGCTGGCAGATTTCGGTATCAGTCGGCTCTTCGCGGGAGGTGCCACTACCCATCAAAGCAAGCCGATGGGAACGGAAGATTGGATAACTGTTGAATCCCATCCCTTGAATCCTATCCTTTTAAGGACTGGTGATGCTACAGTATGCTACAAGAAAGAATCCGATATTCAGGTAGGGATTTTTTTACGATAAATATCAATAAAAGTATATAAAGGTAAATTGCTTTCAAAACAAGGTGTCGTGAAGCTCCGCCGAATATTGTGAGGTTTAACCAAATATCTCCAATCCCTTACTTTGTAAGCCCTAAACATGGCGACCAAGCATTATTAGATTTCCATAAAGTTGGATACTTGGATTAACCATTACTTTTTCCTAAACCAAGTTTCAGAGTTTAAATGGAGACGTCATTGAAATAAACAACGCTTTATTCTAATAATGCTTGTATCAGCGTTATTATTCAAAACTTGGTACCTAAAGATTGAGAAATAATTGTGTCGAATTAAAATATTCGGCGTTACACGAATTTTGTATTGTTCTGTGTTTTGTCATAATTTTTTCTTAATAATAAAACCAATTTTCTTCTATCATACTTAGGTAGCCGGAATGGTGGCATTCTACATTGTGACAAAAGGTCAACATCCCTTTGGAGAAGAACGATTCCAATTTCATTATTTACTCGATGGTAAACCAGTTGGCTTGGTACGCTGAAAGATCCTGTCTTGACAGATTTGTTATCCTGGATGCTGAGCCACGACCCCAAAGATAGACCGTCGGCTGAAGAAGCACTGAAACACCCTTATCTTGAGCCCGCGGAACAGCAGTTTGAAATGTTGTGCAAAATGGGAAACCAGCCTGAGATCAAGACCGGGGATGTGAAATCAGATGTCGTGCGAATGTTGAACAGCAATTCCAAAGATTGGAGATCTCAGGTGAATGCCGATGTTCTGCAGTATTTAAGCACTAATCCTATGAAGGGTAGGACATTTCATTATCAACCGTCGTGGACGGACTGTTTGCGACTTATCCGAAATGTCAAGGAACACTGGCAGGACTGTCCAAGGCCACGATCCGAACTATTCTATTTGGTGGGTGATCCCCAAGAGTACTTTCTTAACCTCTTCCCCAACCTTCCTGTCGAGGTTCACAGAATTGTGAGGTCATGTGATTGGAAAGAACGACTTGACCTTAAAGAGTACTTCATATAAGATACAATATTTGATTTGTTAATCTGAGAAGTTGTTTCGGACGGGAAAAACACCACTGATCTAAAAAC